GTGTGGGGGGGTGTGGAACAGGGGGGGAGGTTTGACATATAATGAAACCAAGCAAAAATTAAAACACTTTTTAACATACAATAGTCATTGTAAAAAATATGAGTCTTGAGTCTTTACTCAAGAACAACTTCATGGCAGATTATGCAGTTTCATTATTCTGGTTTACAAATACTCGTATTTTGTAAAACATAGATTAAATACTCCTTCTTACTCACCTTTGGATCGAGTGGAGATATCCATCCCCTCCACCACCTCCTGCTCTGCCTTTATTTCCTCTTCAGCCAAGCTGCAGGATTCAAAAAGGAGAATTAGAATAGTTAAAGGTTGTATTATTCTCATGTCTAACTTCATGTACAGAAGTTCAACATAACACTGTCAAACACAACTATATTAAAATTTCTGATGAAATGAAATATGATGTTTGCCAGCATATACATTGACTAAAACATTATACGTTGACTAAAACATGTAGAGAAATAATTCAGTAACACATGTATGATGAATGTTACCTATAACAAAGGTAACATTTCTATACTAATGGCAGTCTCGTAACATGTACCAAAGATTACGTCACTGTATATATAAATTTTATGTGACAGACAAACAGGAATTCTGTTCCTTGTAGCTCCTAATCCAAGGCCTCTATGAACAGTGTGGACAGATGCCTGCTAACATTTAAACACTCACCAGCGTCAGTGAACAGATTAGCTGAAGCAACAGATTTAGCAACATGGAACAGCTTTCTAAATTAGAAGGTAAAATGAAATTTTAAAAACTATTAAATAAATAATTTCAATTATTTTGAAACTAGACTATAACAAAACCCTGAGTATTTATAATTTATTGGCAATACAATTCCACTGATTATTAACTATAATAAAGAGTAAACAGAACAGAGTTGTTACTATTATTCATCCATTCAATCTTACATACAGAGTTTTAATTTATTCCCGGCAGAATTAAATTATTAAATAGATGACAAACTATATCTGACTTGCTGATAATTCTACATTCTTATAGAGATGCTATTCAAGAAAATAACTCAATGAATTCGGCTATTTAAGTCAGTTTGGAGAAGGAAGGTGGATGGAAGAGGGAAAAAGAACTAGAACAAATATTTTGTTACACACCACTTTTGGAGATCTATCGTAGATGGAAGATAAAAGAAAACATATGATGTTGAAGCAAGCCCAAACTCAAAATTATAAACAAATGAGGTTATGGTGCCTGAAGCAGGTATCACAGTTGTCCATTAACACCACCAAAGCACAACAGCCAAGCAGGATGTAGATCTTTTCCTCTGTACTGACAATTTACTGTCCAGTCTGTTAATCTAAATTGCTGCTGATACCAGTTTACATCGATATGGCAGACTGTGAACTACTGCTGCTACGGAATGGACTGAGATTCCATTCACTCACCCCAGCTCCAGGAAGTTATTGCTACCAGAGAGGCCAAGAGGACAGCTAGAGATCTTTGTTTTAGCCACTGTGGCTAAAATCTGCCTGAGACAGCTAAAGAGAGCTCAGAAACAACACTGAGGACTTGGTTACATTTATATCAGAGAAACTCTTCAACCTGACAAACAGTTTATATTAGCAGGAGTTTTGTTACTAGTGTAAGTTAAAACAGCTTCCTAAACGAAGTAACATTTACAAGCACAAGGACTTTTTAGTCTGTTATTTGCCAAAACTACTTTTAATCAACTATCAGCTACCAGGGGTTGGGTTGCCATTTCTTTCACACTTCTAAACAGGGACAGTTATGTCAGCAAAAATTTTAAATACAAATTAACCAAGCTCAATGTATGGAAGACCCAAAGCTCAGAAGATCCATGAGCTCCAGAAATAATTTTCACTACTTGTCATTTTATATCGCAGTAATTTACAAATTAAGCTCTTTAAAGTCATAAAACACTTAAGAGAAGTTCTATTCTACCAGCATCCAATCTCTCAGTTCATGGACTATGCTGTTAATTTCAGTAGCAAGGAAAGGCAACCATATGACCAGAATTATAGTATATGTGTAGCACAGTTGACCTTAGCACAATGCTTCTCAGATTTATTTTGCATTGGCAGATTAAATGCATAACATAGCTGACCATACTACAATGCTCACCAATTTACTATGCATGGGCAGATCAATTATACTGCACATTCGTTACACCCTTTCCCAGAGGGCCTTCAGCAACGAGGAGCTGGCAGTGTGTTGCAGACACCAAAACATTTCATGCACCACTTGTCTCTGCCCATTCTCTTTCCTAAGCAATAGGAAGGGATGGGCTCACAGGATGGGTTCATTGTTCTCCTCCAATGTTTTATTGTTTTTTTTCTTCCCCTCCCCCTTACAAAATCCTACTTCAATATCACCAAATTGTAAAAAAATCCCATATTTTTAAAGCATCATGTATATATGATTAATAATGCAGAAAGGTAAATATGTAATAAAACACACTAATTCTGTCAAGAGTGAAGTAATCTGGCAATACACATTACCTGGTTTTAAAATATAGATCCAGTTTCAGCCACAGACCAGGACATACAAGTCCTCATGAGGGGTTGAAGTCTTAAGATCATTTTACACAGATTTCTACTAAAGGGAGTGGTTTCCCCAATCCCTAACTTCATGTTCCAGAAATCACGTTCATTTTAACTGAATCAGTTCTGTGATCTAGCTCACTGTAGCTGGATGTGCAGAAAAGAGGAAATGGGAGTGTACCACGTGTAGGGAAGGGGGGAAAAAAGGAATGTCCTTTTATCAGCAGACCACATTTAAGTTATATTAAAGCAGTCTTAACACTCCTGACTCATCCAAATCTATGGGGTGTATTCTGCTCAAATCACAGCCTCAGGGGAACACGATACAAGAAAGATACAGTAGTTGCTACAAGTCAGTATTAAAAGACACGGAGTTATGCCTGAGTCCTGGCTGAGAAATGGGGGTGACAGACCTGTGCAGCAATACAGTAGCAGGAAACTGTTCCTACATCCCTGAGCCAAAGCAGCAGAGGAAGTTACGGAGTTGACTGAAAACGCTCTGCACCTGTGGGCCCAAACCTAACACTGCGGGGGTGTAACAGGCCAAGACTCCTACGTATTAGTTACAGCATATGAGCTTTCTTCAGCTCTAAATCTGTCTCGCCCCATCTAATGAGCTTAATTTAGGAAATTCAGCCAGTTTCTTCCATCACCTTTTTGAATATTCTTTCAATAGATCTATAGACAAGAAAAACATTCTTCATAAGCAATTATCTTGCCTTGACACATCTCTGATACATAACATAAGAGATGCCTGAAGACAGCTTTCCCAAAGACTTGAAGTATAAATGAACAGTCAAAAAATGCTTTCATCACTTGACAAAAAGGTTCTTAATTTTTCTTAGCAATGGAGGTGCCTATATCACACACATATGCACACTGTATGTCACCCACGACTAAAACAAATTTCAGCGACTATCTGCTGTACTAGGAAAATTGAGCCTTAGAGGAACAGATTGCATCTCCACATTCTCTACTATAATTAATCTCATGCAATCTTTCAAGGGCACAAGCATTTAAATATGTAAAAAAAAAATCACTGAGATTGTTCTGAAAAAAATCAAAATGTTGGGGGGGGGAACAGTTAAATAGGCATAGTAGACATAGCTGTAAGAGATACTTAAAATTCACAGCCCTTCAGAAGCATGTCCCATTGTTTTATTTTCTGTAATATATTATGACTTGCACAACATGACACTGTTTGAATGGTGGCAGTGATGACTGTAGTGGTAATCTTTAAAACTCAAGTTTGTAAATACATGGTAGCAATTCACATCAAGCTTACAGTAACTTTTCTAAAGCTGACAGATCTTGCCACCTTTGCACCTTGCATCCATATAAGCAATATCCTGAAAATGCTTTATAAAGAAGAAACTTCCAAACATAGAATTTTCATTAGCAAAAGATTTCCAATGAAATAATTCAAGAAAACCAGGTCCTTAATGACAGGTACCTCACTATTACCCACACAAAATAAAAATACATTTAAAACCAGCAGCTAAATAATTATAAACAAGTTCTATGAAAACAAGAACTGTATGATCAAGTAGACTATTCTAGAGAGTTTTATTGTGAGAATCTGTTTTTGCAGGGCTTAGACCTGTTATTTCAGATAGCATGCATTACTTTCATGCATGTGTACTATGAATGTGATGTTCTGAGGTTGCAGATCAGAAATGATACTGGTATATACACAATTAAGTACCTAGATGAATAAAATAAATACCTTATGCCATTCTGAAAGCTACTCATGTTTCCTCATTGAGATGAATGAACACAGAAGAACATATTTTAAGAACACAACTGAAATTTAAGCTTTGCCAGTTTCACTGTCAATTGACAAAACCACCAATTCATCATTTAAAACTTCCCTACTTGTATTCACAAAACTTACCAAAAAAAAAAAGTTTTATCAAATGTTAAATTAATTTGTTTCATACAAATTATTTTAACATGTCTGAATGAGGGGAGAAGGAGTGGAGGTTATTCCCTTGGGGATAGTTGGGGACAGAAAGAAAAAAAAAATAGATTGCAAACATATAAGATTTATTAATACTTAGGTAAAAATGCAAAAACAATTTAGCTGCCCAATTTTTAAATATGTTCTCTATTAAACTGAAGAGAGGGTGGGTTTTTTATTTTGAAATTCAGTTTTTCAAATTTCAGATCAGTAAATAAAATCCTGTCTCTTCTGTTTAGGAGGATCATTCCTGTACTAGTAGTAGTACTTACCTGAAAAAATGTACATATACAAAAATATTTAAAGCTGCTCTAACCTATATTAACTACAAAGAGCAATTAAAAGTTGCAGATGAACTACTGCACCTTGACATTTAACCAAGAAAAGCTGACAGATATGGAAAACCACTCGAAACAGCTAATGTCCACATATACAATCTAGATCTGCATTAGGGAATAAACACATAAATTTAAAATCAGTAACTATATAGTTATGGAATTCATTTTTCCTTTTAGTTAACAGAAAACAAAACAAAAACCCACTGATTTAAGACTGTAAGCACTAAAACTGAATTTCATCCTTAAGGTAATTCCTGCCTCTCCTATATCACATTTGTGAGTAGCAATTCTAAATAATGATTTCAAAAATCTGCATTCAATAAAAATTTGAAAAAAATATTTGCATGCCATTGCTGAATAAATAGCAGCTTTGTATAAGCACTCACCTATAACAGTCTCTTACTCATCGGTAGCTATGCTATTTATGCAGGATTCTTAAAATGGCGTCTGACAGCACTGCACTGCCTCATTCCTGTACTGTAGCTAAAATGGTAGCAGTTTATTCAATAACAGTATCTCTTGTTTAAACAGCAGTGCTATATTCAAAGCAAACATCTAAATATCAGAAATGGTAAAGTATGACAAAAGGACACCTGACATCCAAATGTTTAACTAAAAAGGCACAGGACAGGGAGTTTTGTGAAGTTACAGGTTACTAAGGAAATCACTCAGTTTTAGATTCACTCTCCAGTTTGAGCGCATCATATTTTATGCTTCCTTTTGCAGAATTCCCTCCAAAATGCTCAATTTGTATTAAGCAATTAACATACAAAAAAATAATTGTTCAGATATTTACATACAGCAACGTTTAAGCTAGTTACCTCTGATAACAAGTAAATATATATATTTTTTAATTTAAAGACTATTCAGGTTCTTTTCAAAACTTTATTAAGTGTGCATTCAAAATAGGTCCACAAAACAGAAAATCAGGAGAGGGAGGGAGGGAGATCCTTGGTGTCACACTGTCTTCTTTTAGACAATAAACTACATACAGAGCTGAGGCCCAAGCAAGGCAACCAGAATAGCTACAGATTTCGGATGTTAAAAACATAATTTGAGAGTAATCATGTTTGAAAGTAAAGTTTTATGCTGGCTACATTAAGGATGTTAACACCCTGCTACAGCATGAAACATGGATGCTATGACAATTGGCAATAAAGGGTTAACATAAGAATGACAGAAAGCTTCTATCAAATAAATAAAACTCAGTTCCTATGTAGCTATTTCTAAACTAGACTTTAACCCATGAATACAAGACATGTTTATTAATAAATATATTTTAAATACTTTCTAAATAAAATTTAAAGGGCCAAGCTTGATGGCCTACTAATGATGGTTTTCAGTCTCTGGTTTGCAGACCCCTCAAAGCCAGTGTACTACTAGTACTAAGGGGTTTGCAGACAGTAACTAAGTAAATCAAACCTAGTCTAACAGGCTTAAATTCACTATAATGGGATTCATGTGGCCATGAGAAAAACATTAGCGATCCACAAATAACAAAATTTGAAAATTGCTGTCTACTATATTCTACATGGGCAGAGGTTATGTTCAACTTCCAAGATATTTAGGAGATTCAAACAAATACCCTGAATTCCTGACAGAGGAGAGGAGAGCTTTTACTGAGATTTATCACCCTTTAACCAATTATGCTGGAGTGGCACCATTAGTATGGAAAACTGACCATGACCTATCACTTTTCAGCTACTGGATCCACATGGCCAATACACTTGAAAACAAAGCAAAAAGGAAAACAAAAAAACCCCAAAATAAACCCACCAAGCAAAAGTGATATCACAAAATGGAAGACAGCTCAGTAAGACAAATCAATCGAAGTTTGTGGACACCGATATAAAGGGCTAGATGTGTAATGTAATCTACCTATTTATGATTTTTTTTGAGCATGAAGTTCCTTTTATTACATGCTTCCTTAGTAGCAATGGTGGTTTTCCCCTAGACTTCAATACTCCTGCCTGATGTGAGGGGGGGAAATGTCACATTTGGAGTGGTTGATACTCTGCATTTTTTTCATTCTCAGTATGTTAAGTAGTGTTTAAAGAAATCACTTGTTTTTTCCCTAGCACTATTTAGCTTCCAACTAAAACAGTTTACCTGCAAAGAATAAAAGAGGCACATAGCTTTTAAAAAGCCACCGTTTTCATCATAATTTATAATTCAGATCACTCCTTTGTTTTTCCCCCACTGCATTCTTAGTCCAGTTAATTACAAAAGTAACTGGATGTTGGCACTAAATAATAATGGCTAATCATATTCATCCTGGGCAATTTAAATTACTCTTTAGTAGCCAGAAAACTTAAAAGTGCAATTATATGATTAACTGCTAGTTACATTAGAATAATGGCCGTTTACTACAAGCTGAATAAACCTCAGCTACATTGCTTAAACCTCAGCTACACTGCTTCATACATGTCCTGTCTAATTGTGATATTAACAAGATCCAGTCCTGTAAAATATTGTGTAGAAAGAATACGTGCTTTTTCCCCGCGTCTATCTCTTAAACAAAACCCCACATTCCATCTGTCCTGAACAGTAGAAAAAACAGCACAGAGTGCTTCTTATTATGCAATCTATGAAAGTGAGTGATAACATCATACCTTGACAAAGCACCAAAAATATATGAAATTCTTCAGCTTGGCTGAATTTGCTTTACTTAGATGGAACAAAGATGGTAGAAATTTCCAGAAGGCCTTTCTCAGTCTTGCCACTGCAATTGTCAATCTTTAACCTACCCTCTGCTTCTATTGGCTCAAGTACTCCATGGAGCAGCGCGATTGGGCTGATCTGTAAAACAACACTGCTGTCTCTACCTTGCCTCAGACATCTTGCTGCAATGCAGACATTTATTTTTTGTGAACTATAAAAGAATTATATTTGAGTGATTAAAAATAGTGAACTTTAACAGACTCACGATGCTATGTTTCATTAAATGCATAAGGGCAGCTTATACAAATATGCTTCACTGTCAGCAGTGTGTCTGGAGGTGCAGATTTGAAACAGATCCTAGTTTAACAAAACCTGTGGGAGCCATTTTAATACAAGCTTTCTCACTGCAGATCACTTACTCCTGCTTCCTCATATTAAACAAATATTATGTTGTGCACTATTTAAGACTGAAAGTAAACTGCTAATGTGTATAAACTACTGCTAGAAAAATTATGTCCAAATGTAATTTCTATTTTAGCAGCTGAAGAACAGAAACCAGAATAACTTCTTAGCTGTGTTAGCACTTTTACGTATGCTGAAAAATGTATTAAAATTGCATACAAAAATGCTATCACATGAAACTCGGTGAAACACCCCAGCAGTGTTTCAGGTTGCAAACTGAACTAGACAGTCTTATAATCAAATCCGGGGGGGGGGGGGGGGGGGGGAAGGGCTGTTAAGCAAAGTGATATTCAAAGAAAGATACTCATACTGGCAAACAAGTAACCACAGGTAAATTGTTATGTTACAGCATGTTATCAAATACATGGCAAGTTTTTATAAAAGTTAGCATGTAATTGTGACTCAGTGCAGACATTTGCAAAACTAGCTTAGCTGTAAGTTCTTTCCTAAAATCATGAATATGGGTGGACTGTTAAATTATATTAAAAGCACAGAAGAGCATCCTTCCTCTGCTTTTGTAACACTGGTGGTCACTGAAAAACAGCTTGTTAAAACAAGCATGCAAGCCTACAATTAAAATCTTAATAAAGGGCCCAAAATGTTCTAAATTAGTCACAAATCAAGGATGTTTGTCTGAGATGATATTTTGTATAGTATCAGAAACATATATTCATTAAACATTATTTACTTTACTCCATAGGGTCACTTCTTGCTGAGTACTAGCACTTTCATCACACCTCAAAAGCCTAAGGAACAACGAAAATGCGCTTTACCCGACAAACATGGTAATTAATGATCTATGAACAAACAGCAAGTAGAATATTTTTCACTGACCTGAGGTAAACAGGAAGTATAAGCTTCAAACTTTAGAGGCAAATTATCAAAAAAACAGTGCATTCAAACTAAAACAGTTTACATGTACAAGTCCCTTAAAATGGACGCTAAGCAAATCTGATTTTTTATATGACTAACCACTAACATTTCTTCATCTACTGGACTAACTGACCCAGTAAAAACAAAATGTTTGGAAAACTATTAAAAATGTTCGGAGTAGCATGCTGCTTACTTACCAACTGTTCAAGCACCCATCTCATTTTTCCAGTTAAGAAGATACAACAGGCTGGCAGATTTGGGAATTGATCAAAAAGGAATTTCTTGAAATAATTACGTAGCATTAAACCAAAAGTTTTTTTTTAAAAAAAAAAAAAAAAAGAAGAAGAAAAAAAAAAAAGAACGAACAACATGTACTACTGTCATGAACCACACATGATTTTATATCCTCTGGACTCCACAACACAGAACTGTGGCTGATACAGTGTAAAACAAAAAGGCACAGATAAAAGATACATTAGTTTATTTGAACTATGTAAAACAAGAAAGCTAACAGTTCAAAAACATTTTCCATAAAGAATCAGATTTGTAAACAGATGTACTGCTGCATTTTATTGAGCAGCAACTCATTTCCAAAATCTGCAGCATAAAAACTGCCTTTTAAAGGAACAAAATATTAACCATACATTGTCCCTCAGAAAGAGAAACACGTTGTATTAATTACTCCTGCAAGAAAAAAGGTTCAATAATCATTTTAAGTTACGATAAGCTGCATAAAAAACATGATGCAACAGCACACCACCACCTAGGCCCAATATCTACAATCTGCCATTAGCACTTTTTGCTGATGTCTAGGTTTTTAAAAATCCTATATTTTCTGAGAGATAACTTATCTTAGCTATTCCATTCACTGTTTAGAAAGGTAAACTTGCCTGTTCTTCTGTCTGCCATTATCCCTGCTTGACTCCCTGTAGGGCAGTTAAATGCATCTGCTCCCTAGCTTCCATTTTCTCTTCAGCAGGCATGTGACACAACAGACAATAGTGCTGGCAAACTGCTCAGAGAGAGAAAGCTTCTTTGGAATACCAGGATCTTGATAAACTCTAAAAACACCATCCTCCTGTGAAGAAGTAGGTATGCCAAGGTTTTGCCAGTCTGCAAAATAAAGCTGTGGCTAATGGCTACTAACCATGTGACCCAAGAAAGCAAATTTAAACAGTTCCAACTTAATAAAGTGCTGTGGTGTGAGTTTTGCACAACAAATCACAGAGAATCACACTCTCAACCCACAACTCATAGGTCTTAGAGAAAAAAAAATGTAAAAAGTAAGGCTTACCTCTGTGGATGCATTGTTAACACAGTGTTATGTCAATACTTATAAAACATGGAGGACAGGCTCTCAGTACTCAGGCAGAAAGGGCTTGGCACTTCAGCTTGATGATCTGTCTTCCTAATAAAAGCTAATCCCGGATTGGCTACTTTGGTAAATCTGAATGTAAAGCTTCAGGGGATTGGCTGAAACACTTCCTGAGCGATTATCTTTGTGCAGCTCTGGCAAGCAGGAGCCATCCTGTGCATAGAGAAGACAGGCTAAGCTAGGCCCGTTTCTGCAAAAGAAACTTAAAAAGAAACCCTAAATGTGCACTCTCCATATAAAATACACAGATTTTCGAGCAGGGGGAAGTGATCGCAAACTGCCTGCCTGAGCAAATGTGTCTCAACATGCCAGTACTGAAGGCATTTGGATATTTTAAACCTGAAGGAGGAGGAGTTCACCCAGGTCACAAAAGCTGTTCCTTCTAAACAAAAAGCTAAATTCACTTTGCTGGTGCTCTGCAATGTGTTGCACGGAGAAAGCAAGGCCACAGAAAGACAGCAAAACATACTGAAAGTGAACATGCACAAGAGCAACTGAAATTACTAACTGAAAATTCAGAGTGAAAATTCAGAATTCTCCTGTTCAATAATTTAAATATATTAACACCTACCGTAGCAACCATATACCGACAGTGTGATTTCTTTAGATACTATGATAAGCCGAGCCTTAAATAGGAAAAACTTAAATGTCTCATTTCCACAAAAACTATTATACAGTTGAAAGTGCACTATCACAGAGAGTTGCTGCCATGCAGTGCATGCCCTCCTTGTTTATAAAAACCGATGCAGAGCATAACCAAACCCACCAGCATCCCACCAGACACTGTACTCTCCCCCCCCCGGCCCCCACCTTTCGGCCTGCTCAGGCTGGCTGTTACACAAAATTCTGACTTCCGTATTAGTCGGCTGCAGCTGCAGTTTCCTCTCTATTAACCCTGTAGGACTTGGTACTCTTTAAGATACAATACAGGCCCCCCAAAAAACGTAGATTCCTCTACGTGGCAAGTTATCTGCCTGCTTTCACTAAAACGTTACTATAACTTTTCAAATTTTTTTTGCTTTACCTTTTATTTTCTACTAAATCCTGCAAATGAAACAAAATGAGAAAACGGCATGTAAGCAACCAGTTTGATCTGGAGCCAATTCCCAAGCATTTGATTCAAAAATGTGATTCAGTTCTCTTCCCTAATGCAGTGAAAGTGGGAGGATTTATTGCTACGCCAGGAAGGAAGAAAGTCTTAACTCCAGATGAAAATTTTAAAGGTCAAATCTTCAGAAAGGCCCCAAGAAGCCTTTACATTTTTGTTCAAAATTTTGCATCTGTATTAGGTAGCACAGCCTTATCATTCTATAGCCACCATCAAATTAACAATGTAAACCATAGATGAAAAGGTGATTCTGAAGCATATTGCATATTATCAAAGGATTTTATTTTAAAAATAGAAAAACAAACTACAAATGGAGTTCTAGAGAGAAAGGTTTAATATTAAAACAATAATTATTAAATAATGAGCTAAAATAACTAAAGCAAATTAAACATTCTTCCAATAAAGCATGCAAGATCTAGGATTGTGCAAAACTGATTATAGAAAACCCTCTTCCATAAATCAAGGCCTGTTGCAAACAGAATATGCACTTTGCTCTATATCTACTCAAGTGTTAATGATCTCAAAAGCAATCACCACAAATAAAACTAATGCCCTTTCTTAGTTCCAACCAGCATCTTTCATAACTACCTCACCACACAAACCTCTTTGCTTGAGAGCCGACATGACTCATAACTATGCAACTCAGTAAAATTAATAATCCTACTCTGCTTTGTCCCATACTGCATTCAGATTATTTCTTGAGATACCATTGTCACAGGAAAACTGCCAAACCATCCTATCACTGTGCTTACATTTTTTGTATTCTTTCGTTTTAGGCTTTGGATTAACAGCCCAGAGTATAAATTCTCATCTCATAAGTAATTCTGGAGTCCCTGCTGGAAGCATTTTCCCTTTTTAGCTTTGGCAGTGTTTTTCAGGGCAGGGAGCAGGAAGGCTCATGGATTACACTGGCAGTTTGTTCTGTTTTAGGAATGTAGCAGAAACTAGAGAGAGTGCTGCTATAAAGGGAATCGTACAGCCCACTACAGCAGCAAGAACACACTGGAAATGCATGACATTCAAGTGCATACTTGCATCAGTTTTAACAGTTCAAACCATTCAAGATAGGTTTCTTTTTAACTGCATACCTAAAGGCCTATGCCACTCAGAGATATCACCCCCCAACACAAACACATCCAAATTTTCCTCCATGTGAGGATTGTCAACTATTAACATTTATGCTTATTGCTTGACTGCTCTTTTTTTCTTTTTTTTTTTTTTTTTTTTTTTTTTTTTTTTTTTTTTTTAATCCTATGAAGTACAACAAGGGAGCAAAACTAAGTATACTGAATTTGTCAATTCTTTGTCCTAACCAAGACCCGACTCTGGGAATGCAATAATGCTGATGGTGACTGGGAACGCTGCCAAACTGACACACTTGGATGGATCAGAGAGAATCAGCATGCAGCAGATAGATAGAAGCTGAAGCAGCATTAGAAAAGGCCTAAGGTCCTATCCTCTTGATTCAAGGAAATGGTGGCCCAAACGCAAAAGAAAAATTTACAAACCTTGTCGTTAGCAAGAAGAAAAACCTAGAAAGAATATCAGACAGAATATAGCATTTGTATTCAGCCACTAGGCTACTCTGCTAAAATAGACAAAAGAATTCTGTCAGAAATCAGAAAGGAAAAGCTTGAAATATCTTTCTTTTCTTGTCCATACACATGTTTTGCAACAGGAGGTACAATGTGGTATAACAACACACAGGTGCATCTAGAAAATTCAGAAGATTGTGTCTGTTCCTACTGCAGCCTGACCAATTCTTTTACATAGGAGTGGTGAATTTTTTGGAGGGGGAAGGGAAAGAAAGGTAAAGAAAACAAAGAAGAGAGACAGGGGAAGCTAAAAGCTTTGTTAAAGAAGAAGAGAGGGCGGAGAGATTAGATTAGATAGTATTTGTCCTTTTCAGTGCTTTGGAGATGTTAAGGGAAAACAGGGCAGGGAAGGCAGGGGAACAAAAAAAAAGGCTAGAGAGAAACCAAAGTAAAGATGGAAAGCACAAATTCAGTCAAAAGGAAATTAAGACAACAGTGTTAGAAGTGCAACCTACTATATTCAGAACTCTTTGCAAAGAACTCTGCTGTGCAGGATCTCCAGAAAGGGTGTACATCAAGCACTACAGTTTTGTAAGGTACTATATGTCTTAATATATACTGAAAGCTTCAAAATTAAACAAATACCAGCAAGGAAGACATTTGCTTGTATGACAGAAACAGGAGTTTTGCTATGTACCCCTATAGGAGGTGAATCATCACTGACAGAGGGAACAGTAGGTGATGGATGAAAGATGGAGCTTTAAAAATAACATTTTGAACACATACACAAAAGGAAAGGAAGAATGTAATATTTTCCAAGTATAATAATAATTTTAAAAACCCCAAAAAACAAACAAACAAACAAAAAAAGGGGGGGGAAACAAGTTGCATTAAAGGCCTGTAGCTTGGTCCTGGATTTCCAAGTCATTGATTGACAACTGTAATTTCTAGAATAAGAACATGAAACTTTGTAAATCAGAGTTCTTCCTTTTAAGAGTTTTTCCACCTTTAACTCTTTATCTTGAATCTGCCAAAGTATCAGTAACTGCTTAAAGACCAGAAGATAAGACTGCAATCTGATACAGAACCCAACAATAAATGTGTATAAAGGCAGTTCCTGAATTTTTAAAAGTAGGCTGGATGCTAAAATTAGTGACCTGCCTAAGAAGGTTGGTAATTTTGTAAATTATCAGAACCTATTGGACAATATGTTTATGCCAAGTAGTTAGCTGATTTGCCCATAAGCTTAAACGGCTTTATGGCCAGATGCATGCATGCATTTGTCCTTCTGAGCAGTATCTTTGAATACTTTTGGTTTCCATTACTTGGTCTGGATCATAACAGTCACTCATTGTCTGCAGATGAAAAAGCTGATTTTGTTTGTAACATACACTGAATATCTAATGCATTATGAAACCTTCTTTTGACAGCTATTTTTAGAATGCTGTGCAACTGCCTCATGTACATTTCCTTCTAAAGGAAATCTCCATTAATGTTCAATCATCTGCCAAAAATACCTGGGGAAAATAAAAGAGCAGCACCCTTGAGTCCTTTCCTTTAGCAGCTATAGCTTTTTGAAAGAGGTGCTACAGCCTATGTTATCTTAAGGCGTAAGTCCATATATTTCATTCCTTTCACCCCCAGTTTGAGCCAGTCTCCCCAGGATTTAACAGCTGGGAGCTGGGCTGTTGGATATCCTGCATATAAAACAGGATTTTCATTATTATATATTTAAATAATATGCCCTGTATAAAAAGCCTAACAGATATAATTTATTTCATATTTCATATGCAGCGGATATTTTTTTTGTTACATAAAAAGCAGCTGTAAGACATATGCAGATATACCGCATGTCAGACCTAAAACATATCCACCATGCAGTTGAACTGCACCTGTGTAGCAAGTGGATTTATCATGCCTACTCTGTGATAACACGGTAATTAGTTCAACTCACTGCATATGCAAGGTCTGTGGCAATGGGAATGTAGATACCCTGCATAAGAACTATGTACAAATCCTGGAGGAAGTCTGTGTTTCACCAAGTGATTCTAATGCCCAAGTGTGACACATCCTGCATATAGCACTTACTCTGACATAAAGGTCCTTCCCAAGAAAATAGAAAAAATTCACTAGTGTTAGGGAAGAATTATTTAGGACCAGGTCTGGATAATATAAATTCTAATCTTCTTACTGTGGTTTCTTTTCTTTTCTGATTTTTTTCACATTCAGAAATCACTTGGTTAGCAGTAATGAGATAAAAGACTTTTTTTTTTTTTTTTTTTTTTTAGTAAAAGCTCATTATCTCACAGAAGACTCTACCAGCTAAAGCTCATACCAAATATGTAAAGTGATGGAATTACAAATATACTGTTATTACAGTGATTTCTTCTC